TCGTCTTTGACCCTCTGAGGCTTTATCATCACTTTATCATTGCATAAAGATTAGCATCACCAGCCCTGGCATCACTTCACACATAGAAAAAGACATGGGATTAGGCCAAAATTGCAAGGAGACTATTAGTATCACTGAGATATGAGTCAACATGCCTTTCAACCTGCTCTCTCAACCCTCCGCTTCTAAAAAAAAAAAAAAAATTAAATAGGATTTTGTTTGAAGCACATTGTAGTAAGCAAGCATAAAGCCAGTCTCTGTTCAAGGGCCAGCTCCTTTGAGACCTCACGCCAGACAGAGGATGAGCCCCAGAGATGAAAGTGAGGTCAAGGTGGCTTTTTTTTCTTCTTCTTCTTCTCTGGCTACTCCTCTCTTCCTTTCAAACTGGGAGAAGGCAAAGCTTTAGAAAATGTTAGATCAGTGTTGATAAAATTGATCTTAGCCATTCTTGGTGAAGTGCAGAAACACCAGACTTTCCTAATTACAAGTGAGAATCATGTTTCCTGTCAAATTGGATCAGTTTTACAAAATCCAGACCATAACAAAGAGACAGAAAAAGCAACACTGATAAGCGAAACAAGTTTCTTTATCTGTTTAATGGCCACACAACAAATTTTGAAGACTTGTGTAAATAAACACCCAAATTTAGATCTGGTGAAAAAAAGATTTCTAATAAATATTCTGGAGTTCATGACAAAAATAGAAGGATAGAGTGACCTAACATTAGAAATATTAACAGTTTCTTGCAAAATAATTCATGTTGCAAGCTTGGTGACATGCTTAATTACAGCTGAAGGTTGATTGGGATACGACTACAGCAGCTTTAACACATAGAAATCATTGTTCTTTGCAATATAAGTGTCTGTGAACAAACCATTACCCGTTGGAACCAGCCAGCTCAGTTCACATCATTTACTGTTCAATACATTTTATTTCTGGCCTCTGTCTGCTGTGAAGTGTCTGCATGTGGCTCAGAAAACCAGCATCAAACAAGATAAGATCTGTGGCTGGATGTAAGGGTGTTGGTTTTGCTGTCCAGTCTGAAATGCTTTGCAAGCCTCTAATTGGTTTTCATCAAACGTTCCCCTGCATTTAGCTCCATTTATCTCTCAGTAAACCCTTAACAGCCTCACTGAACTCAATACACACTCAATAAACTGAACTTGACTTTCTCTCAAAAATGGTTTTATACTTTCATGAAGGTTCAATTTGTGGGTGACACAATTAATATTGGCTCTTTCAAGAGATTCTTTCTAGTTTTAAACATGATTTTATTGGGTTTGTTTAGGGATCTCTGAATAAAAGTGGCTGAATACAAATGCACCCTGCGGCTTTCCTGTTTTTATCTTTAAAAAACTTTTATAATACTTTCTCCACAATTTATTTTGGTCAGTCATCTAAAATCTCATTTTAACACATATAGGTTAGTTGTTGTAATGTGACAAAATGTGATAAAATTAAGGGAATTAATAGATTTGCAAAGCACCATACAGAAAGTTTGGTGTCTGATTTAAAGGGAGACTCCAGAAATTGAAGAAACTGAAAGGAGATCGAGGATTTAAAACTGGACAGAAACCAGGTTTAGGTAAAACATACTTGACAGCAACTTGGAACCACTTGTGTACCTTTATTTAAGGGCTACAAGAGGAAAATCTCTGATCTAATGAGCCAATAAACTCAGAGGACTGGTGGAGATCGTATGACAGAATTTCTCAGCAGCCGCGGCACGAAAACTAATCAAGATAAAACAGGAATTAACTCCTAATACAAAGAGTTCCTTGAGAAAAAACAACTCCTATGGGTCAGTGATTCACCCATCAATACCACGATGACCCAAAGCGAACGGACAATCCTGCATGAAGCTGCCGAAGGATTAGGTGGTTCAAAGAAAGCACAAACTCAAAACTCAAGAACATTATCATCACCTGTAGAGCGACCTGAAGACGGAAGCCTGCAGGTGTTTCTCATCCAGTTTCAGGAAGCTTTGGAATATTTGCCAGAAATAATTGAACAAAGATTTAGCTATGCAAAGCCTGTACAGACCTAACCAAGACAGCTGGAAGCTGATGTACAACGCAAATCCAAATTCATGAGAGCGCTCCACAGAGCAACTTCCTGCCCGGGTTCCTCTGAAACAAAACATTTGCTTTGCTCAGAGAATGCATACTTTTTCTTTTCACACTACACATGGGAAAGCCGAAGGAATTCCACTTTAGGTGAGGGCCGGTGACGCAAAAGTGGAAGCGAGGCAGGGAAAATAAATTAATTACATCTACTGTAATGGAAAAACATGGTTTGACTTTTATCTCTCCTGATTTTAATTTCTTGTGTGTCAGGCATTTATTTTTGTTGGAGGCGTGATGAAATTCATGTGCAGACACAGCTCTGGTTTCCTGCAGACGCTAATTGATGTTGTAGAAAAGACTCACTTATTAAACATCCAACGTGAGCCGGGCTAATTTATGGAGCCGTGTGCATATGATTTGGGTTGCGCTCGGATTCCTCTGGTTTTTAAAAGTTGACAAATGAGCTTGTTTTTGTGGGCTGAGGGTCGACTTCCACTCAGCATGTGCAAAACTAATTACACATACACAAACGTTTCTTCTGCTTCAGCCGCACAGTACGTTTTGGAGAGCAGTCTCTTTCTGGTGAACTCCTTCCAATAAAGAAAGACTGTAAAAGATATTTACACTTAAACAAGTAAAGAGTTTACATAAAGTAAGTGAAAATTGAGTTATGATTTTTAATGAAGCGTAAGCTAACTTGGAGTTGTTTCTTGAAGTCAGAACTGTCAAAAAATCGTTCCAACTAAAGTAAAAGACGCCTTTCCAGTGGACGCCATGTGTGTTCCTCATCTGCGCCCTCCTGACCCCAGTGGCAGCCTTCACTTTCCCTGCATGCCTCCACACTTTCTCCCTGCCTGAACACCCCCTTCGCCCTGCACTCCCCCGGCCCCTCTCTCCCCACTTTCCCATGATCCCTTCAAAGCACTGCTGCCCACCACACACACACACACACACACACACACACACACACACTCACTGCATCTCGCTCACACACGTGCCCTTAGATAGAACATTGTTTCAGCTAACCGGCGCTCCATGTTTCACCATCTGTTAAGCACTCCCCCAGCTGTTGCCCACTCTCTCCTTTGCTGGGGAAAATAAGAGCCTTACAAGGCGGTGACACGCACACAGGACAGAAATTACACATGGCCCTGTCTGCTAATTAGAGACAAAGGCAGGTTCAGGATCTTGTCTGTCTGCAGGTAGTCAGCATTTAAAGAGACACATGCCGCATTTAAGGCAGACGCTGAAAAGATGTTGTGTTTATGAGGAACACTTAAAGTGCCGTTGCAAACATAATTCAAATTTGAAAGCTGCAGTGTGTAGATTTTATATATAATATTAAGGATTTTAATATATTTGTTAAAACTGTCACTATTTTGTTACAGTACAATAAGACTAATAATCTGTGAGTAAAAATCAAGTTCCTCTTCCTCCTCCCTGTGGTCCTACTGCCATCTGCAGAAATGTGACACTCCTGATCAGAAACAACCAATCAGAGCCAAGAGGAGGGACTTAGCGCTGTCAATCAATAAGTAGTAACTCCCAGTTGTTCAAAAAAGTGCAGTTTAACTGTAATTTCCCTACAGTTAAAAATCCAACTCCTCGTTGAATTGAAAACGTGAGGTTTTGTTGTAATTGACATGCTTCCATTTAGGACATTTATTTTCACCATTTCAGTTTGTGCAATAGAAACGCAGCTACTCTGCTCTGTTACATAAAATTGTGAGTTAAATACATTGAATTTAAAAGAGAATGTGAAAAAGCTGATGGGTTATGAATACTGGAAAGCGTTTTAAATCCACTGTGTGTGCTGCGTTTTGTTCAAAAGGCAAAACACAACCAAAAAAGGCTACCAATTCTTCCCCCACTTTACAACTGACAGAGTCTCTTTTCATCCTGACTCTTCCTTTGTCTTAACACTGCTTGGATAATTCACCAATGAGGTTGAAAGTCATGATGCTCCTGAAATGTACAAGCTGTGGCTTAATTTGAAATGTTATTCTGAAAGACAGGATGGACTCCTTCCAGGACTTTTGGATCAAGGCCCTCCAATAGGAAGCTCTGAAGCTGAAAGTGTTGAAAGAACAGGAATTTGCATGTAGGGATATGTACTCATATCTGCTGGGACAGAGGCCTCAACCAAGCCGTGTCCAAAAGCACAAATCATTTCTTTCTCGTTTTCATAAGTCTAACTCTAGCACACTGCCAGTAAATGCAACATTTAATGAACAATACAATAAATATGGAAAGATCTGTTTTTAAAATGCAACTGATGTCAGAGCTGTTTATTATTTCATAATATCTTTCTGTTCTTAGGATGTTTGCATCTCGCTGTGCAGACCACATGCTGAGAGAGCAGCATGTGATCAGAGGGATGTCTGGACATTGGGCACTTAGTGAGGCAACGGCTCTGCAATGTGACTCACATTTAATGACAGATCGTTGACTTGTCATCTAACAGGAAACACCTCTGAGAGTCCAGGAGGAAGACACCAGACGTTCCAGGAGGATCAGCATTAACTCATCTGCTTCTGCAGCTTCATCACGAGAGAAAAATGAGACGAGAGCTGATTGTGATTATCCGTCACTGTTTGGGTCCAAGGTCCTGATGCTCGGCGCACGCCGAACTGATTAGCATGCATCTGGACACAAGGCGAAAAGAAGCAATTCGTCCTGAAAAGTTTGCTTTTAAACTAAGGATTTAATTTTTTTCCCCTCTGAAAACATTTTAGAATATAATAAAAAACGTTTTACAAGTGGCCATATGGGAATCTGTAACTTTATCAAAGGTCTATTAATGTAGTCCACATTGTTGCTTCTTGCTCTTTTTTTGCATCCCACAGTCATGGTTTTCCAGCAATGCAGACCGACATCTGCTCAGAATATTGTTACCCCTAGACAGGTAGATGGCAAAGAGCGCAACCTGTGCACATCTTCTTTAGGAGACCATCTTCTCTGATGAATTTGAGAGATTGACCCGAAGCAGAAGACGTTTAAGCATCTCTGCTTCGGTTGCTGACAACATAAAAGCTTTTAATAACCTCCTAGTTTATGCAGACGGTACGTTAGCCTGACAATTCTGTGTCAGCCTGACCTTTTATGGATTTGGTCATTAAATCTACTTATTCTTTTTGTTGTAACCAAAGTGGAAAACCATGTGAGTTCCATCTGGCACCAGAATCGGACACTGTAACATCCCACCCACCTCCTGAACCGCAAACCATACGGACCGTCTCTCAGTCCGGGCCGAAGTGAGCGAAGTGTCGGCCGTCCAGCGGAGGATGCTGAGTTGTGTTTGATGTGTGTGTGGGGGGTGATGGGCTGGAGGTCAGATCTCCTCTGGGGACTTACAGAGCTGTGTTTGGCTGGAATTAGAACCTGTTTGGGCAAATCTGCAGCAGAGAGTGGTTTGCAGTGATGTGAAAAGGAAACAAAAAGGAATTATTTAAAAAATGCATCAATGCCAGCAGAGATGTTTTATGGCAACATGCAATCACTAAATGTCTGCAGCAGGAGCTGTGAGAAGATCCAAACTCCTCGAACTAAGTTGCCTTGAAAAATCATTTACTTTGTGATATTTCAACCACAAACATTTATTTCTTTTATTGGGATTTTATGTGACCAAACTAGCACATAAAAAGATGTGTGGTTAAATAGAAACCAACTGGCAGGTTGTGGATAAAGTTATGGAGAAATTTAAATCATCATCTCAAAGTTCAATCAATAATCTGAAAATGGAACGAGTTTGGCACAAGCACACACTCACCCAGACTTGGCGGCCCACCTGAGTTGGCAGTGTGTGCAGCAGAGCATTAGTAGTAATTCTCTAACTATAAATCTGTCCTCTGAAAAAAACCGTTGCAAGAAGAAGAGCTTTTGTGAGTTACTGTATCGTTAAATGAGAACAAAGTTAAACTTTACAACTTACATGAGCAGAAAGCTAACACTGCACACACAACAAATTCTGCAGAGTTAAATCAACACTATGCCGAGTCTGTTTCATCCTATCAGAATTGGTGTTAATTTAACACTTACAGAGTTATTTCAAAAATAGTTTGAGTAGTTTTTGACACTGCACATGAATCTGACCTCCTCTCCATGGTGAAGCATAGTAGTGGCTGCATCATGAGGTGGATGTTTACCTTCTGCAGAGACAGGGAAGTGTGGTTATGGATTGTTCTGTTTCTGGAATCTACAGTATGGCCTCTATTTTTATTTTTGTCTTATTGTTACAACTCATGCCAGTATTTGTTAGGTTGTAAAAAAGAACATTTATGTCTTTTGACACTAACTCACAAACTGACAGGGTTTTCAATCAGCACCATTTGTGCTAGACAAATGTGTGCATGTAGCACATTAAAGAACTTCATCTTCAAAAATTACAGTTAGATGTTGAATCATCCCCAGTCTTCCCTACAAAGTGTTAGATTGCTTATTACATTATCAGGGGTTGTTAATAAGGATCCTCATTTATTGTCTGCGTGAGTCAGACACGAGTGTTCCCTGAAAGTTGACTCTGCTCTTTGCATTAACCGCGTTTTAACGTTACAGTAGATCAATGAAGACATCAGACATCCAAAGAGCACAAGCCAAAACTCTACGCGTGATGTCACGGAGAAGTCTGATGAAACCCAACACCACCAGCTGGTTTAGAGTTGTGATGGGGTGAATGCGGGTGCACACGCATCGCTGCAAGTCGAGGCACATAGCTGGAACCAGCGCCTGGAGGAGAAGACGCACACAAGTCCGTCTCATGTTGTGGTGATAGACCAAACCGAAGACATTATCTGCATCCGTCAGAGCAACCGCGTCGATCCAGCCACAGATCTACTTGCTGTCAAAGCCGCTTCCGTTTTTTTTCCTCCCCCAAGTTTGCTGTTGTTGCGCGTCTTCACTTTGGATAGCAACAGCCAGATTATCCTCCTGCGCGCCGCAGAGCGCACTAGGTTTTTTTTTTGGACTTTTTGAAAAGGGGGAGACATCTCACCTCAGGAGTGCGGTGCGATGAAGAATTTCTGAGGGCTTCTCCGTCCATTTAAACGCTTCCCTTTGAGCGTTTCCGAAGGGTCAGCCCATGTGCAGGCATCCCATTGAGTGTGATTCTATTTTCGCCCAGATCTCTGCTTCCTGGACAAATGCATACAAATGCATTTAGGAGCCCAACGGACAAGGAGTGGACACGTTTCCGCGGCTGCAACGTAAGTTTCAAAGTACAGCAATGCATTTCCCTGCCTGTTTGCACATTTTACTGCAGCAGCTCCAGGTTTCTCATTAAAGAACACTGATCTGTAAAAAAGGTGCCATTCTCATCTTACTTTATTTTTAAAATTAATTCATGAATTTTTTTTTCTGTAACTACATTGCCATCCCCATTTGGAGCTGATAACTGCATTTCTGTTGTACTTGCATTTGAACTTTAAACGATTTGGAAACCTTTCTGTCACATAATATTTCATACTTGACTACAGAAATCCATGACCTGCATAATCTGTGAGAAACTGTGGAGTTGTGTAAAGTTGGAATTAAACGCAGAGGCTGGAGCAGAAAGATGAATGAGCACGCCTTGGGAGGAATTAAAAATATTTCTAGCATGGGGATAAATCATTTGGGTGGTGAGTGTTTGAGGTCGAACAAGTTTAGTTTTGGCAGCCTAACAACTAAAATTCCTCATGGAAGTGTGTTTCGCATGTAAGGTTTTGTTGTCCTGTTACATGCAGCTGCCACTCTAGAATATCAGGACTGTGTTGGAGCAAAAAGGGCATTAAGCAGCAAATATAATGTCCTTTATTTGAAGTTAGTCCAAACTGTCTTGGAGATCTCTTCCAGATAACATCTGAAAAAGGAAGATGAGATCAAAAAGGCCTCTGTTCCGCTCCGAGACACACAAGTTTTTTCTTAATAATTAAGAGTAAAAATGAGCAACCTGATCTGACTGAACTGACTGTGTGGCTCCTGAAACCCCCCTCTGTTGGAGGCATTGCTCCTCCACTACTACTGGCAACATTTTAACAATATACAGCCTTCCCTAAGTGATGAGCAAGGGAAACACTTGCTTAGAAGTAAATTGAGTCTTTATATGTCTGTGGGACATATAATGTGCTTTTCAAAACAATTAATGAATTTTGAACACCTTGTTTTGTATGTTACAACCAGAAACTTCAATATATTTTAGTGACATTTTACATGATTGGCCAAAATCAATTAGCACCAAAGTATGAAGTGGAAGGAAAATTATAGATATTAAATATTTTTTGCAATACACAATTAAAAAGTCAATGGAAATTTCCAAATATTGCCAGAGCTTCTGAAGAAAACCCTTCTTTTGTTGTGCTTTGCTAGCAAATGAAGCTCTGCTCCAGTTTTAACCTCTAACTGGTTTTCTTCCATGATTGTCCTGCATTTGGCTCCATCAATCTTCTCATAACCTTTGACTAACTGCCCTCTTCCAACTAGAGAAAAGTTGTTCCCACAGCATGCTGCCACCACCCTCGTGTTTCATTGTGGGGATTGGTTGTCAAGTGTGTAGTTTTCCACTTCAACTTGTGCGCCACATGTTGGTAACATGGTTCAATTTTGATCTAATCAGATCACATTCTTCCGCATATTTGCTGTGTCCCCTGCATGGTTTGTCGTAAGCCATAAATGGGTCTCCTTATGGATTTTCTTCAAAGCTAAATTTACATTTTTCATGCTGTCATAAACACCGGATTTGTGGAGTGAATGACTGGTTTGTCAGGTGAGGTGAATGAGTGTGTCTTGGTGATTTATTGTTTTTAAAAGCAACAGAGTATAGGAGGTTAAGTTCAAATGCATATCGCACTCTTTTGATTTTTATTCATTTTGGCTTGTCTCAATAAAATACATTTGTTATAATGTCACAAATCTCACAGACTGAAGAATTCAGAGGTTTTGAAAATCTTTCCACTGAGAACCGTGACTGTCACTTCACCCAACTTCTCACAACTAGCCTATGAAGCTGTTGTAAAGTGTAACAACAATTGTATCATAACTAATATAACCTTTTCTATTTTTATTCTGATTCTGGAAGGTCGTTGCAGGGTTTTCTATTTGTAAAATCCAGGTTTGATCCCAGAAATACCATTTGTAGGAATGAAAATTAGTGCTGGATTGAAAATCAGGTGACATATTACATAATACTTAAGAGGAAGTTTTTCATTACATTGGTGCTCATTTGGTGACTCTGACACATTTACTGCTTGACTTTCCTGGAAAGTCAAACAGTAAAGTGATTTTTTTGTACATTATGTAACCCCCAATACTCCTGCCGTATTATTTAATGCAAATACTGGGAACAAGATGTAGTGGACTTGTTAAGTCACTGCTGATTTGGAAAACAAATAGTCATTAATGGTTGTGATTTTTGGGAAGTATTGTGTGTGGTATTCTGAAAGCTTTTCCACCTTTTATTGCACAGATTAGTGTGTGTGTGAGTTAATCTTTTTCCGCCGTCCTAACATCTGGAACTGGAAAGAAGGCAAACCAATAAAGAGTGGTAGTTTACTCACAGCTCTTTGTCTGCTTACTTTCTTGTGGACTAAGTCAATCTTTGCTGTGGCCAGTGCTGACCTTTTGACTTCAGCTGAAAGGAAATTACATGCTAGCTCTTGAAAATCACTCTAATATTTGCATTTATTCAGCATCTTTTTGAATTAAAATTCCTTCATTTTTCATGCCCTGCAGCCTTGACATGTTGCAAATATTAACATGTTTGCTGGCTGTCATTTGGAAAAGCTCATTTAGTTCTTTCATAATGAAGTCACTCAGATAAGAAGACAGATACTGAAGCTGAAACGCAGGCAGCAGGAAAGAGATGCTGGCTGCAGATCAGTTAGTTCTTCATCTCTTGGAAAGTTAGCAACACATGCAGCAGCAAACATCTCGTTAGCATGAGACGTAAATGGACTTCCTGTTGAGTTAGCATCAAAACGGAGAAACTTACCGGTTTTAAAAATAAAACCAGTTCCTGTTTGACCTGTTCAAAAACTTTTACTAGTTCAGTGTTCATTTTCAAATTGAATGCGTTTTGTATTCTCTACTGAATTCTCTGAAAATGTCAAGATGCCAACTTAGATTTAATAATTACAATTCATGACTCAATCTCTGTCACAGCACCATAGTTGACACCAGATTTTTACATACTCTGTATAAAAAGACACATGACCAGAATAGTCATTTGTCTATTTTAAGATTTTAATATGACTCAATAAGGTCTACGTTAATTTTCCTGTTTGGTAAAATTGTGCTGAAATTGTCCGGCTTTAGTTAAGTCCTTTGGTTACCCATCCACAAGCTTCTCATTAATTTGCTGTAATTTTGTCCCATTCCTGTTGAAAGTAATTGAGTCAGGTTTGTAGACCTGCAAATTCATAAAAAAATGTTAAAAGCAAAAGCAAGTAGGCAAGTTATTATGTGAATCTGAAACATCTGAAATCATTGGAAAGACGGCAAAGTCAATCCAAAACTCTGTTGAGACAGGATAACGGTGGAGCTTCACCTCTTTGACAGCTACTAAATAAAATCTGAGATGGTTTTATTGTGACCACTACAAAACATTGACATTGTTGTCTTTTAGCCATTTTGTTGTAACTACTGTGATGTTGTGATTAAAGTCATTATTCATTTAGAAGATCCATTTGCATCCACTGTTCAACATCCTGGCTGATAGCTTAATATAATGCTTTATTATTTCCACATTATGTTCTTTTCTCATCATGTGATCTGTTATGTGAAGTGCACCGGTCCCTCCTGTTGCAAAAAACCCTCACATCATGCTGCTGGAAGTGCTGTAACTCACACTTGAGATGGTGTTCTCATGCTGCAAAGCTTTCCCTTTCTTTTCACTCATTACGTGAAATGACTCATGGTCATTACGACCAAACACTTTATTTATAGTCTCATTAGATCACATGTCTCCAGAAATTACGTTATATTCTCCTGAGTACATTTCTAAACTGTAATCTGACTTTTTTATGTTGCGTCGGAATATTGGCATCTTTTTCTCTGGTTGTGATTTCAGCTCATGTCAGCCAGGGACTTATTT